GGTGGGGAGCAGCAGGTGGGTGAGGACAGAGGGGCTCAGCTGAGCCCCACATGCCCATCCAGACCTCCCCCCACTTGTTATTAAACAAAATCAGTGCCCAGTGCCTGTCCATTGGCACAGCCATCCTCAGGCTGACTGTGTCTGTACGGTGGGATCTGTGGCGGGGCCTGCGTCAGCCCTGGAGACACACGTCAGTTTTCCCCTGACGCTCCCTCTCTAGGCGGCCCCCCTCTTGCCCCCACTGTCTCCTCAAGAGAAAGGGAGAGGGAGAGAGAGAGAGAGAGAGAGAGAGAGAGAGAGAGAAACATCCATGAGGAGAGGGAACCATGGGTCGGTTGCCGCCTGCACGCCGCCTGCTGGGGATCGAGCCTGCAACCCGGGCCTGTGCCCTTGACCGGGAATCCAACCTGGGGCCCTTCAGTCCCTAGGTCGACGCTCAACCACTGAGCCACCCTGTGAGGCTTGAGCTGCTGCTGGCTTTGTCCGCAGGCATGACTTTGCCAGCTCCCTTTCCCCCTGGCCCGGCCCTGGCCCCCTGGGACATGCGGGCTCCGCCCCCTGGGAGCTCCGGGTGTCCGTCTGCCCCTCAGCCTGACTCCTGTCTCCCTCTCTGCCCGCCTCGCTCCTCCTCCCCAGACGATTGGTCCCGCGTGCCCCTGCGGTCCCTCGGAGGGGCACTGCCCGTCTCCCCCCCCACCCAGGGTCTCTGGAGCCCCCGGGAGTTCATTGCGACCCAGGGCCCCCTGCCCCAGACGGTGGGCGACTTCTGGCGCCTGGTGTGGGAGCAGCAAAGCCACACCCTCGTCATGCTGACCAACTGCGTGGAGTTGGGCCGGGTGAGCAGACTGACCCCCGAGCTCCATCCATGACCCCACCACCACCGCCCCCTGACACTGATCCCAGTGTGGACCCTGCCTCACACCCCAGGATTCCCTCCCGTGGGACCCCAACCTCCCCCATCGCCCCCAGCCCATCCTGTGCCCACCTGTGGGGTGAGGCCGATCCCAATGACCTTGGGACCCAGGCTCCTCCTGGCCAGGTTGGACCTGCATGCCGAGCCGCCATGGGGGGGCCTGGGCAGGTTCCCTGGGCCCCCCATGCCCTGACCCTGCAGTCCTCCCCCAGGTGAAGTGTGAGCATTACTGGCCTCTGGACGCCCAGCCCTGCACCCACGGGCACCTGCAGGTGACCCTGGAGGGGGAGAAGGTGATGGAGAACTGGACAGTCCGAGACCTGAAGCTGCGACACGTGAGTCCCGCCCCCGCCCCCCTACCTCAATTCCTCCCCACAGCTCCCTGAGACCACGGGGTGC